AATGGGAACAGAAATAATGACTGGAAATACTTATTTTCCCCCCACACACTACTGGTTTTCTATTTATATCCAGACTTGTGAAATATTTCAGACAAATAGACCATGTAGGAACTCTGAAGATCATCCTGACCATTAAATAAATCTCAAATTATACCAATTTGAGATTTGGTATAAACAATTGACCACCAGCCAGTTCTGGTGGTCTGGCTGTCGAAAAGGTCTAGGTCTGTTCCAAGTTCCATGTGTTCGAAAACACTAAACAAGAAGATCAAAGTTTGATTAGCATGTGGGACTCACTGCTGCATTTCCAGATGGCGACTCTCCAGGTGAAGCAGAGTAGTTGCTGTTGAGAGACAAGTCCAAGTCAACAGTGGGCGGTTCTCCGAGAGGAGGGAGGGACGATAAGCTGTGAGACATGTCCATGTCAGCCATGGAGAAGAACACATCATCTATGGCAAGAAGCAAAACAGGTTTTAATAAACACAATGCTGTTTCAATCTGTTTCAGACTATATATATTCAAAAGTCCAACCTAACTTAATGAAAAGTTTTCGATTATTGGTGAGAGCGTTTTGTGACCAAAACCACTTCTAGGATCCAAAATACACACTGGTGTTTCCATTTCTAAATGAAATATGACATTTGAAATGAATCAAATGCAAAATGAGGTGGATCATACTGGTTGAGCTGTATGTTGTCACATATGGAGCAATTATAAAATATCAATGAGATGACATTCTGTTCCAACCTCGACTCGATACAGTTCTGGTGGTCTGGCTGTCGAAAAGGTCTGGGTCTGTTCCTGGAACAGCGGTGTCTTTCTTCAGACATCGGTTCAGCTCCAAATGGAGACGATACTCATCCTCTTGTTGCATAGGACGGTTTTTTCTGTCCTTATTCCATTCTTGTGCACCTTAATGTTAAGATCAGAAAATATTTTTAAACAGCTCATTTTTGTGAAGATTGTTTCAGCCATTTATCATCTACGTTCTCACCTCCTCCAGAAAAAGCTCCAAATAAATCCAAGAGTAGATGAACTTGGCGTGGGGAGAGCAGGATAAGCAGTTTATCAATGTGTCCAACAACATCCAACTGAGAAGAAATACCACCAGAATAACAGAAGTATCAGTTCTACTCCAATTAAAAAATTGCAGAAGAAATATCAATAATTAATTTAGAATACAGATTTTTGCTAGTTTACCTTTGCGCCAGGCAGAGCTAGGTTGTTTTTAAGAGTGAGGGACAGCTCAATTTTACCACTGAGGCTTCCAACCTGCACAGTCTCAAAGGGGGTTATGGAAGACAGCGGCTCTGTAAACTGTGGATGGGGCTCACATATAATTTTGGGATTCCAGCTGGGGGAGAGCTTTGGTTCAGTTTCCTGTAAAATAGGAGAATTTTGTGTTAAAAACAAAAACAAACAAAAAAAATGGTGCTGAACTGTAACTTTCTGGGAGCTGAAATACTGTAGGCACCAACCGGAGGGGTGGGTGAGGATCTGCAATCGCGAGACACAACTGAGAATTCGTCCCAGAATACAGTGATTCCTTCCATCTGCATGTTTTTATGTGCAAATGTGGTTGGCTGATGCACATTAACACTTGGACTCTCTTCCCCTGTTTCATCATAGTACACGATCCTGCACAAATGTACAAAATATTCATGTTCATTTTTATATTTATTCATTTTCCTTGAACAATTGTGTTGTAACAACCCCAAGGTGTGTTATATTGGATTTTATACAATAAACCAACATAATTGAGATTAATCTTAATTGAGATTATTGAACCCAGCTAAGCACAGAAAAATGGTGGAAGAAGATATTAAAAGTGTTCATAAGTAAAAATGACTCAATCTCCAAGTAGAAATCCAATCCAGAACCTGTGACTTGAAAATTGTTGTTGAAATTTTTTGGCAAAGAACAATAGGTAAAAATTTACATGTAAAATACTTTTTACAAAGAATGACATTTGGTGGTGAATACAACTGCATTTTCACACTATTATTCATACAAAACTTTAAACACATGTATGATTTTCCTTCTAACGATACACTACATAGTGTTGGTCTGTCATGTAAAATAAACCCAGTTCATAAAATTAAAAGTTTATGGTTGTAACGTGATGTATTGTAGAAAATTTCAAGGAGTGTGGATACTTAATTAGACTTAGGAAATATCATTGTGTGTCATTAATCCAGTTACTTACTTCCTGATTCGAAGTTCAAGTGCAATTCCAGTTTTAGAATTTTCTGGAATGTGTTCGACTCGGAGAACGGTATCCAAAAACGTCACTTTGACTCGTCTCAAAACTGCATCAACATAGAAAAAAAAAAAAACATTTTGTATTTCTCACTAAATTTGCTGATAAAGAATGGAGATATAACATACCTGTTTCTATCGTCTCTGCAAACTTCTCCAATCCTTCAAAAGGCTGAAAACTTTCTCCCATATCATCTGTGAGTTTTTGGCTCAGGCATTCCTTGGCGAGCTGCATGCTGCTTGTCATGAAGCTGGACCAGTACATGGGCTCAGTGCCAGAAGCTGGAGGAACAGCAATATTTTCACATGTTTAAATATGGCATGTGAGCACTGGGCTAGCATTGGGCTGGTTAGCCGTGAGCGTCACAGAAATAAAAGCTCCTTCCTATTTCAGGCATATGGTAAAGGTAGACACAAATTGGCATCTCCTTACCTGCTCTTGGTCTTGGTCTTAGCACCATCTCCAAACCCTTGACCTCCAGGGCACAGTTTTCCTGTAGCAGTGCTGCCCATGGAACGGTCAGAGATATTGTCTGGATGAACCCTGCGATTACCTCGAAGGGAGCATCCGCCGTCTCCAGGAGCTCATTGAGAGACTAGAGAACATGACAGCAAGCATTTTTAGTTCCAGTAGAAGAGAAGCTGGCAAAGATTAATTTCCAGTTTTCTTTGCTAATAACAATTTTTTCTAATTACTATAACACATTAAAGAGAAGATTTGCTGCATATAATATAGATATCAATATTGATTCCAACTGAAAATTGAGAAATTATATGATTATTCTCATTTTTAGCAGTTTTATTAACTGTAGAAAACTGTATCAAGGAACATTCTTTTGACTGATGCATTTATAGATCAAAAATAGTGTCCGTTTATAGTTTTGACTCATTTTGGTATTGATGAAACCATACATATTTCATTATCTGCGCAGCCAATAATCAAAGCTATTTAAGAAATATCTGATTTTGATCTCCACCTGACTCATTGGTGCATCTTATTTTCTTTACATTACTGTAAAATAATTACACCATCATTCAAGTTATTTTGCCCTCAGGATACAAACCGTCATATTTACTCACCAGCAACAAACTAAACATTTTGGTAATAAAAAAATATATATATATATTTTGAATCCCATTTATAAAAACTGTTTGTTTCATATGACCAATATTTATTGTAGATTAGTGAAAAATAATACAAATATTCTGTCATTTACTTTTAAGTCATTTGTAAAAAGAGGTATGGCAAGTTTGAACAGATTTACCTCATCTACTTTGAATGTAAACAAAGTAACATCTCACAGTCAGTATGAACTCATTACACAACGCAACATTTTGGGTTCCATAATTCAACAAAATAAATACAATTAACACACCACATACCCATTTATCCAATGGTACTTGTGCAAGGGACCCAGTGCCTTGATAAAGATCAAGGCTGAGCTGATCCAAGCTTAGTTTCTCCTGAAGAAAATTCCCCAGGTACCGATGAAGGAGGTACCTGCAGGCCCGCTTTTTGATGGACTCTGAAAATGGCCAGGGCATCTTAACTTTTTGGTTGAACAGTGTGGTGGTAACAAAAGTGACTGTGAGGCTGTGGAGCTGCTAAGTTGAGGTTATTCAGACAGCTGTGAATGAATCAATGATGTTACAGTTGTGTCATCCTTTTGACTGTAAGGTACTGAGCAAATGTGAGCTCAAACATCCTTCACATCCCAAGATCTGGGACACGCTGGAGGATGTGTTGACACTCAGAGATCTATGTGGGAATTGATCCGACTCCAGTTTGCTGCACCTACAGAAAGGGTACACAGAAGACACCCCCCTCCATTTGTAATTGGAAACCAAAACATGTGACTTGACACAAATTTAAAAACAAAACAAAAGTTTTGTCTGATTATTCTTCGAATGTCTGCTAAGTTGCTCCTGATCGAAAGTGAAATGATATTTCTAAATATGCGCAAAGTATTTTAACGTTGTGAGTATAAGTAATCTCCTTTCTCAAACTCATATCTGCTTGCGAAATAGCCGTGAGCGTCACAGAAATAAAAATAAAAATCTCTGTCGGGCCTTAGCTCTGTCCACAAAAACACAGCTGTCATTGACCGACCGGACATGTGCTTTGACTACCGGTTAGACAAAGGCAAGTCATTAAGCTAGCTTATGTTAAGCAGCCAGTTAGCATAGTGGATACGCTGAAACTGCAGCATTCAAAGCCTTCTTAGCTGGCAGGTTGCTAACGTCAAGCTAAGATTGTAGCATTGGGCTAGTTAGCAAGCTAGCTAAGATAAAACCAAACATTTCTGCTTATATCAACACTAACATTACATTCATAACTACATATATACACAATACACGCAAATCAATTACACATGCTAAAGGTTAAGCATTTAATAAGCTTAGAATGATTACATTAAAGCAGCACGTAAGTTACCTTCTGATTGAGTTGTTTACAAACACTTTCATGACTTCGCACCAATGGACAATGCTGCATTCGAAAACTCCTCGGAAACAGAATATTCAAACTCAAAAAATGATGTTTTCATGCTACAGAGTGAATGAAAGGACTGCATTGCCCATAAATTCTGGATTAAACACTGTTGTTTGTTGATTGGTTGGTTTAAAAATTCATTATCCTAATTTTTCACTCAATTTCATTCTTTCTCAATTGCCAACTGCTTGTGAATGCAGCATAATCACGATCACACTCGGGGGTGGGATTAGTACGTGATGTCATAAAGTGGGGAGACCGTTATGCTCGTGGTACATCTTTTTATTGATCCAGATACCTTTCAAGCTTTTGTTTAGCCAACAATTTTTAGTAAAATAATAAAATAGCGAAGAGAGATTATATCCTTTCATTAGCTTGCTATAAATCCAATTTCAATCAAGGCTAGAAGAAACTGGTCGGAGTGATCCATCTCCACGTAGAGCAGCTCAGAGAGGAGGCTGGAAGCTTCTACGAGCCGGAAGAAGACAACCAACGAGGAGGTGAGAAAAATAAACGCAGTTAACCTCGTTAAAATGGATTCGTAACTTTTAAACCATAAATCAACTCTTCAATTTTACTTATATTATACGCACATTCATGTTTAACATTTTCATAGAGTTACCAAAAAACAACATGCGATTGTTGTTGTGCTCCCTTTAACAGGAGACTTAGCTTAACTTTTAATTCGGAAGCAGTTGATGGATATGTATACCTACATCCCTTTTTAAAAAAATTAAACATGTTTCAGTTTATTGAAGCTCATGTTGAAATGTTCGTCTCATTCTTAGATGTCCACAAGATGTCGCTGTTTTAGTTTGGAACATTTATGCGAAATGCCATTTTCACATTACGGTAATTACAGAACATTGCGTTGTGTTTCTGGGAGGAAAGTTATGACAGTTCTAAGAGCCCCTGATCACCAGGGGGCCCTCCACAATTTTATTATTCATTTATAGTTCATAGAAGCAAGCAATTGGGCTCTGCCAAATACAAAATTAATTATATTGTGTTTTCTAAAATAGTTTTTAGCAGTAAAAATTAAATGTTACCCCTCCCAGACCAAAAAGCACACATTTAACCTATTTACCCCACATTTAATTTTTTGTCATGGGGCCCAAGATTCCTGGCGGTGCCCCTCTGTATATGATTATTGTACTTTAAATGTAATGTTATTTAAGTAAATTATGTAAATACATACCTTTCTGAATAATGCCTACAATTTAATTATGATTATAATCTACACTCAGCATAGAAATGATACAAATCAGTCTGTATTCCAATTAAAGTACAATTTATATACTGAAATCGAGTAAAATAGATTCCATTTGGTTTTCTGTCATTTTTTTAAACGTAACACTCAATAATGAACTTGTGAATATGTATGTAAAAGGATACATTTGCTGTTGCTGTATCAGTTTTTATCTTTTGGGTTTGAGGAAGCGTCTGAATGAGTGGTTCTGTGTGGGATGACGGCACATTTACTTGCACACCTTAAAAAAACCCGTCCTTCTTAGAGAAATTTAAATTGTACCGATTTCAAGTGAAAAACATAAAAATAAACAGACTTTGGAGAAAGTAAGCATTTACTTTCATATTCCTTGAAATATTTCTTTTGTAATTTTACAGCCAATAACTTAAATGCATGTCATTCACGTTTTAATGAAATACATTAGAATTGCTAATATTGGTCTTTATTTAGGGGTATCAAATTAAAACAGAGTGGATCCCAATGCATGGCACAATATTCAGATTTTTATTTACAGAACATTTAAACTATGTATCATTTCAAGTATGAACTACTTTTTGTAGGTCTGTCACATGAAATCCATTGAATTCAAAACCTTTGTGACGATATGTGACAAAGATCTGTGTAATTTCCTGGATGTTTAAATCATAATGCATTAGTCATTCCTGCTATTAATCAGTAACAAACAGGTTTTAACAAAATTCTTGTGTAAAGCCAAAACGAATAAAACTAACAGAAAAGCACAAAACAATATAAGTAATTTGTTTTCACATGATCCTCTGCTTATTTCCCCTCCCATAGAAAGACTGATTCTCTGCTTGAATATGGAAGTGATAGACTTGGTGGAGGCTGAACAGTGTCACTTCCATCGCAGGCAGAAAGCCAACTGAGAAAATGATGACGAAGACACATGTGAAGCAGTTTGCAAGTGCTGACACACAGAAATGCCGAGTTGAACTGCACACTTGCATAAAGGGACCAAGACACGTTTCTACTTGTTCAAGAAATTTCTGTAGAAATATAACCGGTGCTGTAATATATCCTTAAGGAAGGATATATTACAAATATATCCTTGGGAAATACAAAGATTGACAGTGATGAACTTCGTAGCCTTAATGCTTGGAGAAAGATGAGGGAATTATTTAGTTTTATTTCTTAGAAAGATTTTGGAACGGAAAAGAAAACCAATCGAGTTTCCATTGAAACTGGTTTTACTTATTTGACTAGACACCTGATGCCCACATTGTGTATTTTAAAAATGGAGCTTGGTGAACAGTCAGATGTCACATGTCTGGTTTTCACTTCTGTTTTTGGCTAACATGATACACAGTCATATAAAATGATATAAGGAAAAAGAGCTGCTTCACTGCACACTGTCTTTTCTATGAATCAGGCTGTTCTGTTAATTTACTTTATTATAATAAAAACCAGTGACTTCTTTGGTTTTTATTGTTATGCTTTCCAGAACAATAAAGAACACCACAATCTCAATTTCCTCTTCAGACTCTTAAGTTCAAAGCTGCAGCGATGCCTGTAAACGCTGCTGTTCTGTGTTGCAGGAGATGGAGGTAGACTGTCCCCCGGAGGAGTCCGTATCGTCCGCCTTCGATGAAGACTCAGTTGAACTCGGAGACGTCAAGGACATGAGGTTGGAGGCGGACGCAATCGTCAACGATGTTCTCTTCGCCGTAACAGAAATGCACATCTCACAAAGCCTCACCAGCGCATCGGACGTGGCTTACATCAATGTGGAGACGAGAGAGGGGAACCGCTACTGTCTGGAGCTGACCGAGGCCGGACTCAGGGTAGGAGATGCTGGGGGTGTAGAGGTTTTGAAGGTTTTTTTGTAAGGAACTAATTTATCTCCTACTTGAACAGGTGGTGGGCTATGCTTTTGATGAGGTCAATGAGGAGCTGAACACTCAGTACCATGAGACCGTTTACTCCCTTCTGGACACGCTCAGTCCGGGATATAGAGAAGCATTTGGAAATGCTCTGCTTCAGCGGCTGGAAAAGTTGAAGCAAAACGGACAGTAAAAATTGCAATGAGCATGTAGGTCATACTTAAATACTAAACAATAACACCCAAGTTTTTACTTTGGCTTGTTATGTAATGTCTAGTTGCCTTTTTACTACAGTAAAGACTACAGAGCCCTATCAACCTAGTTTTGCTCTAAGTTTCTTAATGTTGAAGGAGTTTATAATAGTTAGCTTTAGGGACTGCTTCAGATTGGCTGTTACGGCCCGGCTCGGAAGGCCGCAACAAAATTAGGAGGATACGGCAACCGGTCAGTGTTAAGCCCTCGAGAGGCATTTCATTTTAAAAGAATCAAGTTGTCTAGGGGACAGCAATCGACGGCCCAAGGGGTGATCGACCCGCACCCCTTCAGACTGGTCCCTTCACACCAGGAAGCCCGGGACCCATCCTGGCCTGGATCTCCAGGTCGTCTGAGCGTGCTTGCTTCTGTCAGTCAAACCCATGAATGGAACGGCGCTCCCGATATACCATCCAGGTGTCTGTAATGGAAGCGCCTCCCACATTGAAGACCTTAATTGATAGTTTTAATTGTCACATAACACACACAGGACTGCACAGCAGGGCCGTCACATGGCTGTTTGGGATCTGTTGCAACAGTTTGCTGTTTAATTTACTGTGGAAACATCCTATTTCTTCCACATGTTGTGACGTAGTAACTAAGTGATAAAGCTGCTCTTTTTTTTTTCATCAAAATGATGCAAAAAGAGTTGTTTTGATCCTGCTTCTCCATCTGCCCAGCTGCTCCTAACAAAGAAAGCTGTGACGTTTCTAATATTTCACAACTAGTTTTTATTCAACATGTTTTTTGCAAAGGAGTTATTTCAAAGCAAATTGCCTTAAATGAGTTTTTAGAAGAAAACCACTAAATTTAGTTCAATATTTTCTGAGATTAATTTCAATTAAACTCATTTAATATCTTTCCATCCCAGTTAATATGTTAGATATTTTTACAGTTTTTTATGGGTACATGTTAGCTTGCATTTTAAGCTGTACAAAAGCTCTCTTGTTATTGTTGGTTTTGTATTGAATCTCTTGGTTCCGCCAGAAAGCACAGCATTTATTGATCTCCAGGAAAGACTTTTAAAGCTGCTTTAAACATTTTTACTCTACATATAACCTGTGTCATAACTGAGTCATAATCCTTCAGTGTTATGCATTAGCTGAGAAAGAAACCTGATTCCTTTCCGCATTTGTACATCCCCTTTGTTGTTATTACTAACAATAAAATCTCAGTACGTCATGTGCGTCTTATGTCTTTGATAAAAACATCGCTGTAAAAAGAGGTTGAAGGAGAAAATTTGTATCCCAGCTTCAACACACCTGAGTCAAATAATCAGGTCATTAACAGGTTTCTGGAGAACTTTTTACATACTAAAAATGTAATTCAGACATTTGATTCAGGTGTGTTGGACAAGACACGTGGCTGTTGATTTGAAGAGGAAATAAATTTTGGTTATTTCCAGAAGTTCTTAATCTAAAGTTCAAAATTTTATATAAAGACATACAAATCATACAAAATTTCACCAATTCAGTTAAACTTTACTTAATTTCACTACACATTTTTGAAGCTTTTATTTCAGTTATAACAAATTGCAGCTTACAGTTTATCAAAACCCAGGTTTCAAGAAACCAAACTAACAAAAGTGCAGCAGTAGTTAATTCTCATAAGATACTACATAAATGGCGTTTTGTTTTTTTAAATGTTGTGGTTAATAGTTTTCACCCATTTCTCATCCCATAAAAAGGCTGATTTGCTCCATTTCAATATGAAAGTGATGGGTTCAGTGGAGGCTGACCAGAGTCGGTCACTGCAGAAACCAAGACAACAAATTTATCCTTGAATTAAATTTATTAAATACAAAGATTGGCCATGAAGTAGCCTCAGTGTTTGGAGTCGCAGATTTTGGAATAGTGAAAAATAAAAAACAGTCAATTCCTCTAAAACTACTTTTTTTTGGCTGCACATCTGATGCTGACATTTAAAGTCTTTGAATTTTTAAAATTGAACACTGAACAGATGTCTGACTCACTGCTGTTGTATGCAAACATGACACCATGTCACATGATGCAAGGAAAAGGGATGATTCACTGCACAAAACTCTTTTCCATGGATCAGACTGATTATTATAAAAAACAAGCTCCCATGATTTGATTGAATTCATTTCAATGTTCCAAATACCCAGATAAATGAGAATTCAAATTTTCTGTTTTAAATCAAGCTCTACAAAAAAAATTGCAGAAATGCAGGTCAACTTAAAATTATGTATCATTTATACAATTAATAGTTTAGCTGGGATCCTTTTACATAAATGCAGCTACCAAAGTAGCTAATGGATAAATCCATGTGCTGCCCTTCAAGCAGACTTCTTCTACAATTCATGCTCCAATCTGTCCCAAACACTTGACTCAACCTCACTTCATAACCTTGGAGGCTGCAGATTTTCATTCTACTGAACTTAACTTGGTTGGCCAGAACTATGAAAAGCCCGTTTTTTTTAGCAATCACTTCTTAAGGCTTACTGTTCTTGTTCAGTAAGCCTTAAGAATAGTCTATTGGACCTTTGCAAAACAATTGTAGACTTCTCTATTGTTGTATAGACCACATTATGATTTTCACTGACTATTGTAGGTTTCTGCAAAGTTATTTTTTATTAACTTTAAGCCAACATTTCAAAAAAAGGTACAGAATGGTTCAAACAAAAAAATTAAAATAAAAACTCAGGTTACTACTCAAGTTGGATTTCTTTATTTGCACTTTGGTTGCATATTTCCTGGCCAATTCAATAGATTTTCAAGCAGGTCAGTATGGATTACAAAATATGAATAAAGAAAGTTTTCAGACTACATAGCAGCCAGTAAACATTTGCACAATAGTGGAATGTAGTTCATCTTCAGATGCCATTTTAAATTCTTTACTCTTAAAATTGAACATTAGGCAGTTAACACATAATGAGTGGCATTATTGTAGATTTAATGTGTGCAGAGAGTCATGAAATCAGCAAAGAAAACAAATTTAAACAGGAAGTAGTTTTTACTCAAAGCTGAATCCCTTTTTAAGAAAAGCTCGTCCGAGGTTCTTTTGTTAAGCCGCCTCAGTTCACAATCTGAACTGGGAATTTGATGCAGAACAAATCTTTGTTGTCGTTATCTCTCAGTTCCCACTCCACCACACATTTTATCTAGAAATCCAGAAGACAGTCAGTGACCAAAGTGCATACATGTCATCAGTCAGAAGAAATGGGGAAGGAAGGAGAACTTCATCTGCCCCCATCAAATTAAAAATAAACTACAAAACTTAACATCTGAAGAGCTTAGAATCATACTTACTGAAGGATACTCAGTCTTTACTGGTAATGAAGCCTGGTAGTTGTAGGTCTCCCCAGACTTGATGGGACACTGGATTCCAGACCTGCAGCCATCTGGCACAGGGATGGAAAACGGGATCGGGATTCCTCCAACAATACCGTGAACCACAGCGGTGCTCTTGTCACTAGCCACATCTTCAGGAGGATGGATTAAAACATGCATTTAGGTTATACTGTTGGGCAGGTGAAAGCATTCAAAGAAAAAACAAAACACATACTGCTGGTGAAGGTGACGTTGACAGTGTAGGAGTTTCCTTTGTGAAGTTGACATGGCTGATTAGGACACGGGTTGATGTCCACACCGATCACTTTGCCTGAAGTGGAGCCTGGAAACAAACATGGAAAGAAAAAAAACAGTGCCTTTGTCTTGTGATGAGGAGAAATCAAATATCTTACAATATCAATAACCATTTGTTGCCAAGAACATGTCAGTTATGATGGGAGTGCATCAAACCCAAATAGGTCAGCGCAACATGAAGTTGCTTCAACAATTGTTAAACGCACCTTTCAATGAACAAAAAAAAAAAATAAGCAAAAAAACCCAGCAGGTTGCTCAGCTAAATGATTTCAAATGCAAAGACGCATCAAAAGGGCATTAGGCTATGATTTGCCAAACAGATGACCGAAAGACATACTTGGCAAAATTTGATTGCATGTGGCGAGTAAGATTGCCTAATATTCAATACTACGGTGTTATTTATCACATAACAGGGATCATGAAACTGCTTGAATATATCTATACACTTCAAAAGGTCATGTTGCCTGAAGCTGAAGAGAAAAGGTCTTAAACAAGTATTCAAACAAGAAAATTACCCTAAAAGAAACTAATAAGAGCAAACTCCAGACTTACAAGATCAACATTGAGTGGCCAGCCCTCCACCAAACCTTTTAGCAATTTAAAAACTTGTTGGGCAACATAAAACATGCATCTATGGTGAAATCAACTAAGGGAGAGAAATGTTGCAATACAGTTAAATTGTTCTGGGGTGGAACATCATGGAACACAGATGTGAGAACGTTCTCAGATATGGCAAACATACAACTACATAATTTCAGTGATTCACAGGAAAGCTTAATTTTAGTCAATTTTGAAGAAAAAAAAAACAATTGAAAACTCCTAGCGCCATCCAGCTACTGACAAGGCCACTGGTCTATAGGCAGAGAAATTTGGGAACTGTTCATATATGCAAACTTTGTCATTTCCACAAGTTAAAAATTGGCTTCATTCAAAAAGGAGTCAGTGAGTTAATCAAAACGTCCTAATTCAATCAGGGGAGGGGTTTTGGGATTAATAATTAACATTCAGGTTTCACAATGTTTTTAGATCCGTTCCTGTTGGAACCTTATTGGGAAAAAAAAAACTCAGCACCCACATTAAGTCTCACATTTATGTCACCCACATTAAGCAATTAGAAGGCATTTTAATGGAAAATTGCATTTTAAGCTGCTATATTTCCTCGTTGAAAGAGTTTTTTTTTTTTTTTTACACTTTGTATTTTCTAATTCTTCCTGGTATTTGTATTTAACCAGGAAGAATGATGAATTAACATTAACAGAGAAGGAAGTGTCAAAAGTGAAGTGAAACTCACCACAGTCAATGTACTTGACTGGCTGCGCCCAGGTGATTCCCATCAAGCAATACAACACAATTAAACCAGTTCGAACATCCATGTTTTTGACCCTGAAACAGAGAAACACCCATAATTAAAAACTGTTACAGCAACTTTTATTTCGCCATTATAAAAAATATATATATAAGTGACGGAGTTTCGTCGCACCAACCAAAAAAAGTTCACCAAAAAGCGACACTTCTTAACTTCTTGGCAGGGAAGAAACACGAACAGGACGAGTCTTCTGTCTGATGTTGGTATTTACCGCAGACCTTAGTTTTATACAGCTCCAACTAAACACAAGCAAGGCTCGCTCCACCTCCACAGTGAAACCCGAATCACGGGATTCACGTCACGTCACGCCTTTGCCTCTTCTTCTCTGCGAAAATTCACAGCAGCTGCTGTCTGTCAATACTGCCACCTACCGGATTAACCAGGGATCCTCAAATTCTTTGATGTTTATATTTTCTGAAGAACAATGAAACACGTCTGGAGCTGTCTGTCCAGCTTGTATATATGTTTGACAAAATTATGTTTAAGAATCCAAATAGTCGTAATTGCATGTGGAAAACGAACATCGTTAAATAAGGAAGCAGAGTGATGTGAATAGGTTGGTGCGTTTTATTTCAAACTAACCACCAATTATTGAAGTTTATTTTATGCCGTAGTTGGTGAAAATTAATATTTGTATCATTTGTTTTTGCATAATCCATGTTCTGTTTCTTTTGTTAATAAAGTTTTTTAAAGAACACACGGTTACGTGCAGCTTGACAAACTTTCAAGTAAAGGTATATTTTATTGGCAGATCATTTGACGAATCAAATAGCAGAACTACTGAAACATGGGCGTGTTCATCAGACTGACAGATATTTCAACCAATAGCAGCCCGCTCTCTGCGTGTTGCTGGCTACGTGGGGGAGTGAAATTCACCAACGTATACTATGGAAGATGTCTCTGTTTAAAGGAGCAATGATAACTGCGTCAAAGTCAAGAATATTAAGCCTTGCGAGGTAATGTTAACGTTTTCACATATTTTAAGTATATTTATAGTTCTCTATTGGCAAACGAAATATCTTTGAGAGCTTAAATGCGGCTGTCAGTATTTATCTTCGTTAGCCAGCTAGCCTCTAGTTCAGCTGTTAGTTACGCTACGGTTCGTGGTTAGCTTAGGTGCTAATACCTTTAAAAAGACCTTTAGCAGCCTTCATGTGACCATAGTTTTCTTGTTTTTAGGGCATCTACTCTCCTAAACAACCTCGGCGTCAGGCAGGAGATTTACCGGCTTCCTGAAAGCTCCCAGCCGGTTTACATAGCGGGTCAGCGGTGCTTCAGCAACGCCTCCATCCTTCAGGAGAAGTCTGGGCAGCAGAGTCCAGCAGAAGATAAGGTTCACCTCACAGAGTCATGTGTGAAGGTACGAGTCTGAGGTTCTTCTGTTAGCAAAAAAGTACCTGAGCATAATCCAGTGGATTCCAGTCGTTAATATTTTTAATTATTTTAAGTGTAAATTGTAAAGATTACAGCCACTCTATAAAAGTGCCATCAATTTTAATTGGAAAAAGAAGAAAATCGGTGTGTAGACTTTAAAAAAATCCACTGTAACTGATTAACTGAATGAAACCTGAATGTTACTGTATGTTATACATAATCACAAATACTCTTTCTATTCAGAGGCTATCAGAAATCTTAGAGAAGGGCGAGTACCTGAGAATACAAGTGGAGGGAGGAGGTTGCTCTGGATTTCAGTATAAGTTTTCTGTAGATCGCAACAAGAATGAGGAGGACAGGTAAACTTTCTCACACAACTGGCTCTCAAAATAATCTGATATAAGTGTTGTCCTTATTGTTTCTTCTAATCCACCCCTGAATTCCTTCTGCTCTGCTTTCAGAGTGTTTGAGCAGGGGGGAATGGGCATCATCGTTGATGAAGAGAGTCTGGAGTTTGTGAAGGGATCCACTGTGGACTTCAGTCAGGAGTTGATCCGCTCCACCTTCCAGGTCTTGAAGAACCCCCAGGCAGATCATGGCTGTTCCTGTGGCAGTTCATTTTCTGTGAAAGTATGATTGATGCTTCAGAACTGTTTAATACTTTAGTTCAATAGTTTATGAGGTGGATGATAATTATAACCCAGGAAAACCAACAAGAGATGTGAAATTAATGGGTTCACCATTTACCTATTCACTTTTGCATTACTGCAGCGCTTCATTGAGACGTGTCTGTGAAACTTCTAATTTTAGATTGTAACATTTTATTGGTGCTGTTTGTGCTGCCAGAAAGAAAACTTTAACTTCAGGGAAACAAAAATCTGCATCTTTTCAATGGTGACACCGTTTGTCAGACAAAAAGCTGTACGATCATTTAAAGCTCATTTCCTTATGCAGTTATGTTGCAAATATGCTACTTTGTGTCAGTCAAACAGAAGGTCAGTGGTGATGGAATGTGTTAAATTCCCCTCAACAGATCTTACTGTTGGATTACCACTGTGTCTTTCTACAAAAAGGCTACTAGAATCTTATCAGATTTTTGTTGTAAAATGTTACCATATAGGAAAGGATCAGAGATGCAAGGTGCAGACAGATTAACAGAAAGTTGTTCGTGTGTAATCTAAAGTGGATTATGCACTTTAGTGTCATTTGCTTTAATAGCTAATGCAAACACTATGAGTTCACCTAATACTCAAGTATTAGATTTAGATTTAGACGGAATCAATTCTCTTTAAGCAACTCGGAAGCGGAATGATTTGCCAACTTTGGTATTTTTTGTTTGTTTTTGTGAAAATGAGGCAAAGTGAGTGAGATGTATTGGTTATTCAGTGTGCTTTTTAAAGACATGTACAAGCAACTGATGTTTTCCAACAGAACAAAACTCTTCAGTGTAAATGCTGTAAATAAGTCATAACTGTCAGTTTAATTTATGAAGTCTGAGTTGGAATAAATGAGTGTACCTATTAAATGAAATTGTGCTGTCATAAATCTAAAAAGTTATGTCAAGGTTTAAATTTAATGTCAGATGAATGACTTTAGGGGGATCTTTGGGGGAGAGACTTTTTTCTAATACTTGCAAAAACCTTTAAAATTTTAAGATTGTCTGCATAAAAAATATTTGCAAGACTAATAAGTAGATTTTTAAATGGAGGGAATAAAATAGTGCCTTGTTGGCAAAAATAAAAAATCTTGGTACATTTTTATTGATACAACCACAAATATATGTATTTATTTGATAAACTAAGACATTGTGGTGCAAAAGTGGGTGGAGAAGTCACTGCCAGACAATGAAAGAAATTTAAAGCAATTTTTTTTTATTAAATTGGAGTTTAAGAAACACTTCACAAAAATATACAAAAAGAATATTTACAAATGATATATATACAATGGTGAAATGTAAATCAAAATATGCAGCAACATTTGTTTAGTAGTTAGTATTTAAATACGAGGAAATTGTTTTGCATTTTTTATATTCAACTCTGATAAACATTCCATTTCCACAATAAATGTTATTACACAAAACATTAGTTACTCTCCATAAAAGTCACACTGTTCATATTCATGAAAACGCAACAATAATATAGCAGCACACCAAATAAAGTGACAGCAAAAAACTGCAATAGTGCATCAAGAGGTCAATATACAGTTTGTTTGTTTTTTCTGTTTATTTTCTGAGGAATTTGGTTGGGACAGATTGTCTTCCTGTAAGCCAGTGGTGTCCAAAGTCGGTCCTCGAGGGCCAGCATCATGGATGTTTTAGTCCACTAGAGAGAGAACTAAAATGTACAGGATGCCGGCCCTCGAGGACCAACTTGGGCACCCCTGCTGTAAGCCATGCATACCCATAAACCACAAAACAGGTCCTCTAACAAATATTACGTCATGAGGGGAACACAGCCGAGGGGAGGTCAGGTCAGAGGTCAACCAGTCAACAACACAACCATGTAACTCATAAATGATCCACCAGGGCAACACAGTGACCAGGTCAGGTGTACAGTGCATAGTATGCTTTGGCATGCTGACATCCAGAACATAACAGTGGATGTTACATTCAGGAGGAAGGCCACAAGATTTAGAATAACCAGTAAAAAAAAAATCCAACAAAACAAATGAGTTCATGATCTAAAAGATACAAAAACAAATCCCAAAAACCTCACAAACACTCAGATTAAGGCTAATTCATTAATGCTACATGTTTTTTAAAAAATGGCATTATCGGAAACACAACTTTATAGGCCTGTCGAGTGTAGAGATGTACGCAGATAACTTTTTTTTCCCCAAAATAACTCGCCACTGAATAATATGCACACATTAGGCTCTTTTTCATAGTTATGTGATATACAAGAGTCTGTATGCTCTCCACGTGTTTTCATATTCACCAATGAAATGAAAATTAGTTCAGCACACATGCATGCACCAAGGTTTGAGGCAGTAAGTGGGATCACAACTTTAAACTCATCAAGCTGCCGCATCTGTCGTCCTCCACGTCTCTTTTTTTTTTCTCTCTCTCCATGATGGGGGTTGCTGATGCTCCTCTGATGCAGGACGTGGTGGGATTCTCAGTGAGGGACGTGAACACACCTCCACACAAAGAGGCTGCAAAATCACAGAAGAGAAGTTAAGAATGAATGAAATGCAAATGTATCTGTATAATTTAAATCTTAACCACCACAAAGATCGATGTATTTTAATGGGGTTTTATGTGGCAAACCAACACAAAGTAGTGCTTAATTATGCAAATAGAAGGAAAAGGATACATAATCTGAAAAATGTGGCTGTGTATTCAGATTTCCTTTACTCTGATCGATCTCAAGTCATGTAAGAGGCACTCAGATAAGGCTAAATTCAAACATTTCAACCTAAAAGCATAACAATATGTGTAGATGATGTGTAGGTGGTGGTGGCAGCATCTATGAGGATGCTTTTCTTCCATAGGGAAGTCAGATGGCGCACACCGGAAGAAAAACTTGAGAATGAGGTGGAAAATAAATCCAGACCTTAATTGGTCAGGACTTTTCAAGTTTGTGGAAAAACTTGAAAAGCTAATGCTTTCTATCCAATATGACTGAGCTTGAGATATTTTGCAAAGGAAAAGTGTTAAAAATTACAGTCGAAAGAAGTGCAAAGCTGTCAAAACAAATCCAGAAAAACTTGGTTCTTCCAAATATTGACTCAGAAGAATAGAACTCGTAGGAAAGTCACAATTTTCAGAATTTTATTAGAAAAAAATGTGATATATTTCATCCACCTTTACAATTATACTCAACTTTGTGTTGATGAAAATCCCATGTCACGCCTCACTCACCTCCTGTCGTCTCCGCCAGCACTGACGACGAAGCGATCTCCGTTTGTGAAGCGTACATTTGTCAGATGAGCAGAATGGCCTAGGAAGCGTTTGTGTTTGGCCTAAAAGAAAATGAGTTTTTCCTGCGTTAATACAGAATGAGTCAGCATATCACAGCCATCTATGAACAAACACTGATATGAAGCTTGAAACTGCTTTTTATGCTAAAATGAATCACATTAACACTGGACCAAGCATGTCCTTATTAATAAAGTAGATACTAACAAGCATCACTCAAAACTAAAATAACAAAATGACAACCTATTGCTTTATATCGGCTATCCAAAGAGCATCTTCTATAATTTGGTCACAAACAACCATAGTTTAAAACCACTAGGGGGAAATAAAGACCCCAAAGTTAATCTCTACCATTCAAAATTATACCCTCTTCATTATAAGATCAATTCAACAAAGTAAAGACAAAATAATATAAAACTTTACTTACAAATTTCTCTGGAGAGGGAAAGTCAAACAGCTTCACCATCCCAAAATCATCACCCGTCACAATGTTAAGGCCCGAATGGGACACGCAAGCACAGGTCACATCCGCTTTGTCAGCATTACGGGACCAGATTCCTACCACTTCGTCTCCAAGGACACTGTAAAAACATGTTATTTTCTCACTCCAGCATTAATGAAGGAAGTATTGTAAAGGAAAAATTGTGTTATTTCTTTTAAAAATTCATTTAATTCTTCACTCAATTTACCACGTTAGTATTGGTCTGTCTTTAAAGTATGTAGGTCAAGAACTAGTCAGATAGGTCTCCTGTTGACCTTTCTCTTCAGCAGTCATAGCAGACTAATGTCTCACCACGAGTACCAAAGCAAGGTGCCAAAGTTTGTTAACAGATAACAACAGATTAGGTAAAAACACTAAGATGGAATAAGCCCTAAGGTCTAACAAATTTCTCCATTGCATGTCACAAGTTCAGTGCACAAGGTCTGACAATGTTCTTGTTATGCAAAATTGTTCCATTAGTAAACCTGATTTTTGGAAACTCACCTATTTTGAACAAATAAGATGTTTATCATCTAAATAATTAACTGACCTTTCAGTAAGGAAGAGGTTGCCTCCTGTCCACCCTGTGGCTACTGACTGTGCATCAAACCTGTTCAACTGGAATTGACTCTGAGCCAAGGGAGTGACCATGCTGTGTAAAGAATCCTATAAAATGTGAGAGCTTGCAGCTCCAAGTCAGAACTCATTGCAGGTGCAGCTGTTGTGCTGTGGCTGCTGTGTGTTTTCCGTCGTTTTCAAACGACAGAGAAATAAAGAATTTTGCTCTTTGCCTTTTGCCAGAGTCTCAAGCCTGATCTGTTCCACAGATTAGATTTTTTTCCCCCACAGTATACAATGTTTTTTTAAAGGCAAAACCACAGACTTAAATGTAATTAGATAAGATTTTAAGTGATAAAATAAAGAAGTAATGCATAACTGTGAAGTGGCAGGAAAAAGATAAGATTTTCTTTTCTTTTTTTTTTTACTCAAGTCTCATGGTATGTCCCTAACAGCTCTTTCACAGCTAGACACTGATTTTAAATAGCTCAAGCTCAGTCACATTGGATGGAGAGCTTCTGTGAACATAAAACTTTTAGTCTCAATGTTGAGACTTAGACTAGGCCGTTCCAACAAAAATTGACCCTCCACTCTCGTTGCAAGTCTCCATCCATCATCTCATCAGCTCTAACAAGCTCTAACAAAACTCCCCTCTCCTCACAGCATGATTATGCCACCATCATGTTTCACAATTATAATAGTATGTTTACAAATGGATAAAAAACGTCCATTTCACAGTTATGTACTACAGTGTGTTGGCCTCTCCCATAAAATACCACTAAAATAGGCTGAAATCTGTGTTTGTAAGCTGATAAAATGTTTCTTGCCTTGTCCAAGTGGCCCAGGTAATCCTGTCAATTTGAATTTGTTCTGTGATCTGCCTCCCAGATGGCACCTCGTACACGAGCCGCTTGTAAGCACCTGTGGATATCTGTAAACAGTAGCAGAAATGAGACTTTGAACTACAATACACTTGGCGCTATCTCTTCTGCTGTTCAGCTGCTTAACAAAGTCCGTACCTGTATGTAGGAGCTATCAGCAGAGAAATCCATCTGCATGACGAAACTGGGGATGTCCCTGCAGCAGTTGATGCGGTTCAGCTGTGGGCCGAGCGTCAGGTCGTAAAAATCAACGGCGCACTCAGTGGAGCCGACAGCCAAGAAGCGAGAATTTGGACTGAACCTGCAGCAAAAATACGCACTTAAGTCTTTAGTTTTCAATTACAGCAATTTTTCCAGTTTCACCACACAGTCCACCATCATTACCTGATATCTTGTATAGGGGAGCGTCTGTCTCTTTTCTTGCCCCAGATTTTCAGCGAAGCAACCAGCAGGATGATGAACTCTCCGTTCTTCATGCCGATGGCCACCATGTCACCCTCGGGACTGTAGCTGATGGTGTGCGCCGGATGGCCCAGGTTCACCTTATTCAGCATCTTCTGTTTTCCCACAAGGCAATGTGATAACACAGACGGCTCAGCAATTTCCAGACTGACAAACCATGGGAAAGTCAGAGAGACGATTTGGGAGTCATTCTGACCTTTTCTGGAATGTCCCACAGGCGAACGGTGCCGTCCTCAGCGGCAGAAAGAAAAA